TAGATCCAATCGATATAGAGGTAAACGAATTCTATAGACGTTGTTGTCTTTTTAAGGCACGGTACCACAAAATTAGCAAAATTTCACGACAATCAACACAATAAAAACTAGAGAAAAAGAAGAAGAAAAAAAAAGCTTTTAATCGATTTGTGCAATGTTGAACAAAGGTTCTTTCTTTAAATATCAATCCAAAAGAAAACAAAAAATGTTTAGAACATTTCCTATTGTAATTCAATACATCTTAAGTGAGATTAGCTTAGATATTTGTGAGGTTAATGACCTAAGGGTGTTGCGGCCCCCTTCGCCTAATGCTCGACTTCCATGTACCTCGGCTCCTTCCCCAAAGGACTGCGAATGCGGGAGGACTCACGCCAGCAATGGCGCGTTCCGCCAACTCCAGTACGAACAACATAAATAATGTAAATATTAGGTCGTTCCGAAAGTTCTTTCCGTTTTTTCAACCTATCATAAAAACAAGAGGAATAAAGATAGGGAAACGCTTCAGGCACTATCCAACGCTGCTTTTCTTCCTCTTTTTAACTGTCATATTGCTGTGCCGCTTGCTCTTGTGATCAGTGAGATAGTGGCCAAAATCTCAAAACCATGGTTTTTACCATGTCCAACTTTGGCGATTTTTCATAATCTTCATTTTGAACTTTTGGAAAAGTTTTGATAACAATAAGATAGAGTAAACAAAGTGCAATTTTATGCAATTTTTCGGCGTCTATAGGTAGCCTTAAAAATTCTTTAGAATTATTTTTCTGATGCTATCAAATTCCACTTTTGGTGATGCCATGAGCCATAGAACATAAAACGCCGCACAACTAAGGTGCCATTCGATGCAGCTTTTCCTTCTCTTTCTACTGAGTATTTTTCTTCTCCATTTGTGGGGGTTTCTTACGATAAAATTTCCATAATTCATAATTTTGAACCCGCCTGAGAGTGTACACGTGAAATACGAAATCTCATATTTCGAAGCGGTAAACAGTCAGTTATTTTGTAAAGATGGTGGGCAATCATAAACGACTTTTGAAAGTGTCAAAATCCGAAAATTTGTTAGTGTTCGGAGCGTTTCTGTATTTTGAGACTTTGCAAAAGTGAAGACTTTTAGAAAAATTATCTCAAAAAATACTGAAAGGCCAGCTAGATAAGCGAAAAAATTGCATTGTATTGCACTTTGTTTACTCTATCTGGCTGTTATCAAAGCTTTACCAAAAGTCAAAAAAGAAGATTGTGAAAAATTGCCAAATTTGGACATGGTAAAAACCATGGGTTCGAAATTTCGGCCATCATCTCAGTGATCACAAGAGTAAGCGAAATGGGAGTATGACTGCTAGAAAGAGGAAGAAAAGCTGCGTCGGACAGTGCCTGAAGCGTTCCCCTACCTTCATTCCAGGTCTTTTTATGATGGGTTGAAAAAACGGAAAGAACTTTCGGAACGACCTAATATTTACTAAATAATACAACAAACTAAATTATATATTAACAACGAAATACCACACGGGGCGAGTTCTCGCTCCGGGCTACCGATGGGGACTCTTGTCACTCACACTCTCCCAACTTCCGAGGAGCTGACCCATAGATCGGTCGCACTTGCCATCAAGGCAGTAGCGAGGACGCGGCTAACACCGACCCCGCTGATGTTGACCGACAAATTCAGACCGAGCTCCACCATATGTCCTGCGCGTCTATGCTGTATTACTCAGATAATCGCAGGGGGCAGGCGGTCCGCAAACTCGCGCTTTTCTGCAAGCGGTCAGCAGGATTTTGGGGCCTGGCCAAACCTTCAGCGAGCGGTACTTCCTTTACTGTCTAATGTTCTGCCAGCAGGCAGCAACACAGAATTATGCAGGCGGTCGTCAAATAACGTCTTTCAGCAAACGCTAGCCGAATTTTCAGCAGGCGCTCGGACTCTTTTTACGCAGTTTTGGGCTTACGTCGAGCACAGGTAAGACTCTGTGTGGCTGAGATGCCACCGTTGGTTTAATTCTCAAGTTTGAGGTACTTTCTCTCAGCGGAAAGTACCTGCACGGTCCTCCACAAAGGACCGTGCAGCCCTCGAAAATTTTGCATATTCTCGTGAAAAGTCCGCGAGAATGCGGCCACTGCGCCGCAGCTACTCTGTAAGGAAACCGCAATTGTTCTCCAAGCATTAGTTTAAAATTTCATCAAAATTCTTCCAAATATCTGCAAGCGGACCGCAAGAAATCAGCGAACTACTTTTCCGATGCCCGTCCGCCCATAAATCGCATGGTCGCCTGCCCCTGGAGATTATCTGAGTAGGAGTTCAACGTCCTGATGTTTCATCCTTGCGCGTCCATCAGACCATCCGATCGTCACCGTGTACTCTCCAAGGCGCGAAGACACAGGCCCTATGATATCACAAGGCCCAAACAATCAATAACACGACGGACAGGAACGAAAGCGAAGATGAAAGAAAAAGCCGCAATGGCGCGCATGTGCGCCATTCATATCCGAGGCCTGGCGTGCCCGCGTAGTGGTCCGGCGGCGGATAGAGTAGCGACGGTAAAGCGCCACTACCCTGCTTACGACGGATCTGTGCGGCATCACGGTGTTCCCCTCGCCAAACGTTAAGAGAATCGGTCGCGCGAACCGCGACAAAGGGCTAAATCCCTGCGCTGACAGATTTTTGAGTCCTTTTTTGTATCTCTTTACTCAAATTGCTTTTGTTTAAAAGATCATACCTAGACCTACTTATTACGGACTTACAATCATTCAAGGGTAGGAAGCGACTTGTTGAAGTCCTTCCCATAATCCTTTCTGGATCAGTTATAAGGTGTCCCAAAAGTATGCATAAATTGTTTGATCGTTGATATCTCTTTTTCCAAAGTCTTTTTCCTACCTCCAAGCACCATCTTGCATAGCTGGCTTCCACTTACATTGGCAGCATGGAACGAGTCACCGATCGCTCTTCATTTATGAGATTACGGTAGAAATTTCAAGAAGGGTTGTGAGCCATTTGGGCCCTGTTCCACCACAGAAACCAAACCAAACAAACCAGAAGACTTTTATACTAGGTCACTTCCGGTAAAACCAAATATGATGTCTGCACTTTATCGCGATGGTTCCTTCATAAGTTATGCCAGGCAAACCGCATTAGCTATATTTACAATAGTCCATGAAATCGTGATTACACCATTTGAAAAGCTTCGCAAACTCGTAAAAAGTCGAGTAATAAAATCAGCGGACGTGGAAATCCTAGTATACACCACTTTTCAGATTTTTTGAAAACTTCTCTCAAAACACGACCAATTCACAGTGACACTGTAACTGAAAGTCCCTACCGTAACCTTACAGTAGGAAAAAGCGATCGGTAATTCGCTCCATACTGAAATCTGAACTGAAGCCAGCTCTATAAAATAATACCTGCAGGCGGGCAAAAGACTGCAAGAGTTTCTAAGATGTAGTTATAAAATCTAATTCTCGTTGATTTGCAAATATTCCAAAAATTTCATTTTTGTCTCGTTGATTCTGTAGAGGACTCGAAAGGATGAACTTATGAAAAATTTGTTTCCAAGACACTTTCATTACCAACAACAAAAAACATAATTTCTTTTACATAAATTATCTTGCAGCAGGAAACCTAGACATGGGTTGATTATCTTATATATAAAGCTGAATGTCTGTTTGTCTGTCTGTATGTCTGTCTGTCTGTCTGTCTGTCTGTATGTGTGTACAGTCTGCCCCAATCCTAACCAGGCCAAAATTGGCATGGCGGGAGTCCGCGTCATTAGGATCTCGCGGTCACGCCCACGGCCTGCTTCTCTGCTCTCTCTGCAATCCCTTTGCTCTCTCCGACAGCGCGCATATGCAGCGCAGACCTATAGCGCTGCGAGCGCGCAAATTGCGCCGACGGTTCGGCCTGATCCCGATTGGGGCAGACTATACGTATGTTCCGAATAGAAAATTCCATTTCTGAACCGATCGGGACCAAACTTGGCACACATACACTTCGGGCCCCGGCGGGTGTCACAGTCCACTTTTCGTTATCGATCGATGTCGATTTTACCGATTTTTACCGATTTTTTTGCAGAGTTCACCTACAGGGCTAGGAGTTGGCACAGGGGGGGGGGGGAAGTGAGCATGGGGATTCCGGATACAATATTAGTTTTCAGGATTATCGATTACTTTTATCGATTTTATCGATTTTTTTGCAAAGTTTGAGCTACGGGGCTGGGAGTTGGCACAGGGGGGTAATCAAGCATGGGGATTCCGAATACAATATTGGTTTTCAGGATTATCGATTACTTTTATCGATTTTATCGATTTTTTTGCAAAGTTTGAGCTAGGGGGCTGGGAGTTCGCACAGGGGGGTGATCATCCCCAAGGGGGGTGATCAGCGTGCTCGATTACACCCCTGTGCCAAATTCCAGCCCCTAGCTCAAATTTTCAAAAAATCGATAAAATCGATAAAAGTAATGGACGATCTTGAAAACTAATATTGTATTCGTAATCTGCATGCTCGATTACCCCCCCCCCCCCTGTGCAAACTCCCAGCCCCGCAGGTCAAACTTTACAAAAAAATCGATAAAATCGATAAAAGTAATGGACGATCCTGAAAACTAATATTGTGCTCGTAATCAGCATGCTCGATTACCCCCCCCCCTGTGCAAAATCCCAGCCTCGCATGTCAAAATTTACAAAAAATCGATAAAATTTATAAAAGTAATCGATAATTCTGAAAACTAATATTGTATCCGGAATCCCCATGCTCACTTCCCCCCCCCCTGTGCCAACTCCTAGCCCTGTAGGTGAACTCTGCAAAAAAATCGGTAAAAATCGGTAAAATCGACATCGATCGATAACGAAAAGTGGACTGTGACACCCGCCGGGGCCCGAAGTGTATGTGTGCCAAGTTTGGTCCGGATACGGCGGAGCCGGGTAAGCCAGCTAGTTATATATATAGCTCAAGGACCTTCATGCTGATTCTTTTTGACTGAATATAGTAAATGTGAATGTCTCCATAAAATTCTTTGCAGGTATTTCTTCAGGCCGGAAATCTCCGGAAGAACTAACGCAGGACTACATACTACTGATACGTTATATCTACTACATCAAAGAATTCCTTCCCGGTCAGTTTGTAAAGAGCAGTGGCGGTTAATACATAGGGGAAAGAGGGGGAGGGGAGGGGGAGAGAGAGAGAGAGAAGAGAAGACAACATTTTTCGAATAAAGTAACGTGGAGGATATAGCCCTGCAAGAACTGTTTTGGCGGTGTTAGTAGAGGCAGCCATGCTCCCGAAAAATTCCAAAAAGTTTTTTTGCCACAAATTTATTCTTTTTAGTTGATCATAAGTAAAAACAAAGCACTTGCATAATTCTATAGCTTATGATGACTCAGTTTCGGTGAAAGTTCCCCCCCCCATCCACCCTCCTCGTTCAGCCACTGGCAATAAGCACTACCTCAGTTCTTAAACACATGAAATTCTAGAGCTGTTCCCTGCGAGAGATCAATGGCCTGATTCCGGAGATGGTTATCCTTCTTTCTATCCTGGTCAGTTTTACGTTGGAACGTTTTCTAAAACCTTTTTCCATATTTTTTAAGACCAGCATCCATCGAAAGATGTAACGCATGAATATCTATTACTGTTATTATATTACCAGTACTTCGCAGAATTCCGCTTTTCATTCGAGAATGGTTAGTTTGTAAAATATCACACTAATCTGTGAATTTTCGCGTATCTTCAGATATGTTCTTCCCGGGAAATTCAATGCCGGGAGGCTTCATGCAAGACTATTATTTGTTACTAATTTATTACCGTTACTACATGGAGTACCACCACCAATTCGGACTCGGTTAGTTTGCAAATCAAAACAAGTTCCACAGTTCTCAAAAAAGTTTTTCTGAACCTGCTAATTTTAGGGAGATATTTCGGAAGCTCCGGTTATTATTCCCGCTCTGGTCGGTTATATTTCAAAAGTTGCCCTCTGAGCTTTTTCCAGATACCCTCTTTGAAGTGGGGTTCTTCAGGGTACTCAAGACAAGACCACTTATTATTACTGCTTTATTACCGTTACTACATGAATTACCGCCTTCTATTCGACTACGGTTGGTTTGCAAAAAATGCGCAACTCTCCTGTTCTTGCATAATCCATCAATTTGCTATTTTTTAGAAGGAGATCTGTTGCCTGAATATTATGGCTATCTAGATCGTTTCCGATCAGGTCAGTTATTCAAAGCCTCTATGCTCTTCTTTGATTGATTTTCTTCTAATCGACAATCTCTAGGAAATTTAACGCGAGAATACCTATTATCACTAATCTATTACAAATACTTTGAAGACTTCCGTATCTGGTTTGAGCTCGGTTAGTTCGTAAGAGAGATGGGTCCATCAAATTTTACTTATAAAATTTCTTTAGACTGGCAACGTTTGGAATATTTGCGGTACAAATACTCTAACATTTCCCTTTCTTTCGGACCCGGTCAGTGGCACTGAACATAATGAGTTCATTTTTTTTAATAGATTTTACAGGTCAACAATTCGAGGAGAGTTCAATGCAGGAGTACTTGCTCTTACTACTACGTTATTACTATACAGAATTCCATCTTACACTAGAGTTTGGTCAGTCTCTAAAAAAACTCAATCCTTCAATTTTCTTCAATTTTTTGAACCCTGCTGTCGTAGATTATCCAAATAATCTACAACCTTTAGCATTGTAGATCTACCGTGTATGTTATATTTAGCATATCTGTTAGCTTGTCGTTGACAAACCTTATTGTTCACTGACCACTTAAGCCGCCAGGTCACCCCTCCGCTGTGCTTGATAGTCTACTTGGCGGCGCCTACTTTCATGTAGGCAATCCTTCATGCTGTATGATACTATTGTTTGCCAGAAGGAAGCATCTAGGTTGCCACGCCCAAAATAGTGGCATAAATAGACCTGGATGCTCACTTCTGGACTCGTCTCGCCAAATCTATATTCCACTGGAATTGTTTCCCGAATAAACAATTCCTTCAACGTAGTGGCATCCAATATTGGTTAACACCAAATTGGTGCATTCGGCCTACGGTTCACTTTCTGGCGTTTGCTACCCAGAAAGCTGATAAAGTCCCGCGTGGCAGACACTCCACTAATTAATTGAACCCTTTTGAGCTCTCTCTTCGTGAGACGACCGGAAGGTAGTAAAAGCTTTAGTTGGCAGGCTTCTTCACTGATCAATTGAACCCTTCTGAGCTCTATCTTCGTGAGACGACCAGAAGGTAGTAAAAGCGTCAGCCGAAGAAATTTCACTGGTCAATTGAACCTTTCTGAGCTCTCTCTTCGTGAGACGACCAGAAGGTAGTAAAAGCCCCAGCTGAATACTTCTCCACTAATTAATTGAACCCTTTTGAGCTCTCTCTTCGTGAGACGACCTGAAGGTAGTAAAAGCGTTAGTTGGCAGAAAATCACTGATTAATTGAACCCTTCTGTGCTCTCTCTTCGTGAGACGACCAGAAGGTAGTAAAAGCGTCAGTTGAGGAAACCACTGGTTAATTGAACCCTTCTGAGCTCTCTCTTCCTGAGACGACCAGAAAGTAGTAAAAGCTCCAGCTGAAGACCTTACCACTGAAATTGAACTCTTCTGTGATCTTCTAGTAAGACGACCAGAGGTTAGTAAAAAAAACAGTTGGTACATCTTTAATAGTTCACTCGAAAACTATTAAATTACAAGGTCTCCTCAAAATCTCACTGGGCAGAATTCAAACCTAACCAGTCAGCACAGCGTTCAAGCCCATCGGCACGCTTGCTAACCAACTAGAAGAAGCTAAGCGCTCCACTGCTAGCTCACTAGTGACTAATTTTCTTGCGCTCAGCAAGAAAAAATCCCACAAAGGTTCAGGCCCAGCCAACCTCACAGTTCTCGACAGCTGCGCGTACTCAGTACCCAGCCAGAACACCTCTACCAAAGCCGACACCTGCAGTGCCAAAGCACGCAGACGACAAAAGCGCAAGCGATACAAGTCCATGCGCACAAGGCAGACGATGGCTGAGCTAACTCTATACAAAGCTCGCATTTCTATGGCCTGCTCATCAATCAGCGGTCTTGAAGACAAGGTCCGCAATATTGATAAGGCTTTCGAATTTCCCAACACTGCAACCGAATGCAACGCCTTCATAGCGGACAAAATAGCAGAGATTGATGAACTGCAAATTACTCTAACAGGTTTACTGGAGAACCTGGAGGCGCAAGTGCAAACTGCCATGAATTTTCTTGGCGCAAAAAAGGACCAGTCAGACAAAGACAGATTGATGAACGATTTGGCTGCCTTCCTAAGCACAGAAGCGAACGGTCTACAGCTTGAAGGTATCAACTGGACCAACAGGTTGAAATATCGAACGAGGGAATTAGAAAAACAGTCAGGTGTAATCCACTCATTAGCATCGTCTTCGATGCGATCACCAGTACCGGATACGGACACGGATAGTTGTCTATCCACAAGACAAAACAATGAGCACAGGGTCCGATTACCAGTGCTGGAAGTTCCAACGTTTAGTGGAAGCTACAAAGACTACCCGACGTTTTGGACGATCTTCAATTCGCTTATCCATAGCAATACACAGCTAAGCGACACTGATAAGTTCCTATTTTTGAGGCAAGCACTAAAAGGATCTGCTGCTTCTATGCTTGGCAATATTCCTGTGATAGGGAAAAATTACGACAAAGCTGTGAAACTCCTCGACAAGAGATACAACAAGTCCGGATGCATAGCTGATCTTCTCATCACAGAGCTCGAAAAATTTCCGCGAGCAAAGGAAGACGCGAGTAGCTGCCGAAAAATGTTAACCGATGTGACTGAAAAGCTCACTCACATTGAGTGTGCGGGAGTCACCTTGGACAACGGGCGAATGTGGAGACGATTGATACTCTCAAAATTCCCAACATCACTGAGCGAAAAGGTGTTCAGCAAAGAGCAAAACGAAAACAAACCGTTATCTACCGAGGAAATATTAGAGATCCTGGAAAGTGCGGTAGCTCTTAAGGAAACAATCGCCCTTTCAATGGACACATTCCAAGCATTCGAGGACTGCAAAATTATGGCACGCTCTAATTTCGATCAAGAAGTTGATGAAAGGCTGAACTATGAAGAAGACTCAATCGCATACAATTCGAACTACGGTCAAGGAAATAGATCTTCGAGAGATTCGATTGCTCAATGCATCTGCGGAAGTTACCAGCATGATGCGACGAGATGCACAACATTCCAAACAGCAGCAGAGCGACGTAATGAAGCCAGGAAACAAAGGCTGTGCTTCAGATGTCTTCAAACCGATCACAGGATTAGTGATTGCACAAGCTCACAGTCCTGCTACAAGTGCCACGAAAACCACCACACTGCCGTATGCATGGGTAGCTATTCGGCATCTAGAGGCACCCCAACCAAGCGATCGCAGCAACGATCTGCTCGCGATCAAGATCTCCCGAGAAACCCTGAATTTGCGCAAAATTCTGAAATTCTCCACAACAAGAGCACGAAGCGAGAAAGAGGAATGCAGCACGTACTGATGACGGCGACTGCACTCGCATACGACTACACATCGACCAGCTATAAGCCCGTAACTGTTTTCTTTGATGGAGGTGCACAAAAGAGCTTCATCAATGCAAAGAAGACCCAAGCTCTTGGCTTACCAGTGCTGCAAAACACCACTTTCAAGATTGGCGGCTTCGGAGGATCTACCGCACATTTCACATCCAGTGAAGTCCCGCTTACACTGAGAACAACGTCTGCTGGAGTCGCTATCAAAGCCGTGAAGATACACACAAAGTCAACACTCACTTCCGCGATGAGTACAGCTTGGCTAAGCGCAGAGGATAGAAGGTTGATTCGAAAAAGAAAGATTCGAGTAGCACAACCGGATCTGAAGACGCGACGGTTCACACCGGACATTCTCATTGGTCAAGATCTGATCGATCAATTCATCTTGAGGGATCGACCATGTACAATTCTTCCGTCAGGACTTATTCTCACCCCTACTGTTTTCGGTCATGCAATCTCCGGAAGCAGTCCGATATATGGAATCAAGATGGAGGAGCATTCGCAGAACACTGCAATCACCATGGTCTCCTACAATCATCTAGTGGGTAAAGGAAACTCAATGAAGCAGAAGCCAGTTACAAGCGTCGAACAAGCTGAGCGCAAAACTTCCAAACGCCGAGCAAAGAAGCTCAATCCTCCGTATCCGATGAATATATTCGCACAACCTGAGAAGTCATCTACGAAACACGAAAGCTACCAACGTAACAGCGCATCTCGTGGACAACAATTCGATCGCAAACGCCGAAAACCAAGGGCTCAAGGACAATTCATGAAGATGATTACTGATGCTCAACCGGGATGTCTCGCTTCAGCGTCGCGCCTGGCCCCGAAGGCCGACCACGACATGATGGCCGACCACCTTACGAATCCCAGACGAAGACAACGAACCCGTTACAGAAATCATGTGATATACGTGACTTAGCTAATGTTGTGATGAACTTTTGTAACCTACGTGTAACTTTTGTGATTTATATTTTCTTGCTTACGCGCCTTCCGTCGCGCGCCCCACTGTCGTAGATTATCCAAATAATCTACAACCTTTAGCATTGTAGATCTACCGTGTATGTTATATTTAGCATATCTGTTAGCTTGTCGTTGACAAACCTTATTGTTCACTGACCACTTAAGCCGCCAGGTCACCCCTCCGCTGTGCTTGATAGTCTACTTGGCGGCGCCTACTTTCATGTAGGCAATCCTTCATGCTGTATGATACTATTGTTTACCAGAAGTGAGCATTCAGGTTATCCACGCCCAAATAGTGGCATAAAAGGGCCTGAATACTCAGTTCTGGTGTTGGTTCGAATATTACCACTATCGTCAGCGGCTGTTCCGCATTATTCACTGTTGATAGTCAGCGGCTGCTCCGCTACTATCCAATAAACAGTTTACAACGTAGTGGTACCAGCTTGGTGTATACCAAACCTGCTATATTCAGAAAATTCAACTGACTATTTCGAAAGCCTCTTACCTTTCCAAACTGGTTAGTTTTATCATAATTTTTTTGCGAGCTTTCTTTCCAAGCAATTATGGAGCTCGGCGTTAAGAAGATTTGATGTGTGACTACGTAATAATACTACGTCGTTGTTGTTACTCTGGAATTTTTTGTATCCCAATGGCCATTTCAATGGGGGGTGGGGGAGAGGGGGAATAGCCCTTTGAGCAGATTTTTCTCACAACATTTTTTTCTAGAATGCCGCATTTCACAAAATAGAAGCATCATTACTTCGCTTCCCTTCCACATTAGTTGATATTTTATGAGTTATACATCATAAAATAAGACAGTACGCTAAGAATATCATTTCCAAATTCCTGAGGAAGGTAGTGTGAGTTAGAAAGCGCAGGCAAAACAAAAGTTTGAGATGGTTAGGGATAATAGATAACAATCTTCTACGGTTGGGGGGGGGGGGGTATTGGGAGCAAAGGTGAGGCTGGGAGCGGATGAGCTACATATGTTGAGGAAGCGCCCTCCCCCCCCCTCTCTAGTTTGTACTTTGTGGCTGTGTAAATGTCGAAATTTGTTGGTACTTTTCGGCTCTTTTGGTAACATACCAGTTCGTTTCGACCAATAATGCGTTCAATATCAAATGTAACTGACCAGTTACTAGGAGTTTTTGGTACGGGAATTCTTGCGCCACTAAGCTGAATTCTGGTGGTGACTTGATTGAGATCATACAGTGTTGGCCATAGCATCCTGCCTTGGTGGGTGTCTGAAAAAGATTATACTATGTAAATCAACGTTATTTCTCTGTACGGAACATCAGCAACTACGCAAAGTTGACTCAAGCACCCCACATCACTTTCATTGCAAAGGCTCAGTATCTCAGGACATTCGACATACGAGGTGATTAAGTGCTCGAAAATTCGGTGAACCAGCAGTCATTTTGAAACAATGTGACTTAGTGCAGTGCGAATTTCCTAAAAAGGCGAAGATTCCAGGTGTAACAGATGTCTCATATTTTGATGCTGTAATTAATGCTGTACATTAAACTTTGGGTTCAAAAAATGTAGTAGTGCTTAAAAAAAAGGAGGTGACTTTATAGCTTGATCAGCCTTCACAACAAATTTGTCCAAATATCTCAATTTTTCTCCGGCCAAAATCAAAGAGCTGGGTTTCTACGATTTACGTTTCTACTTTCTACGATTCTTTATATACTAGGGAGCGCTGGTTCAAACACAGAACAGTGGTTTGCCAGACAATTCCATCTAATTGTAAGACAGGGCACCGCGATTTCTAGGATGACTTCAGAACTATGGCCAGCACTGTATGCAAAAGTACAAAAGACCGTATATGCAGCATATTTCTATCTACCTTCCAATGTATTTGCCCTCACCCACTGCTAGCGACCTTACGGGTGTATCTAGAAAAACAAATGCATGAGAGCTCGTTATTACCATACTACATTGCTCCAGATTTTCACCTTCTGAGCCTATTTTTTAAAAAATAGAATTTTTTCATGTTCGTAATTTAGACATGCTGTCTCCGGGAGATCTACCTGTTAATGTTCTTGAAGAGTTGCGCCTTCGTTTCCAAACAGGTTGGTGTTAACTTAAAAGAAGAATTTCCGAACTCTTATAAACTTTTGAATCGGCCTTTCGGAATTACTCTTATAAACTTTTGAATCGGCCTTTCGGAATCTATCTCATAATTGCATACTAATATTTTTTTACATAGTGCGAAGATATTCGTGCTCCACTTGAGTGCGGCTTGAAAAAAAAAGCCCTTGAAGGCAGCGTCTCGGCAAAATGAAAGACATTGGGATTTTGTAGGGATGTTGTAGTAGACCCTCTACCTAAGCAATGACTAAAAATTAAGCAAGAAATGATGTATACCAAACTTGTAATCTGCGGATGTGGAACGAATTTTACAGCATAGAGCGCGTATAGCGCACGCAGTCATGACGACAAGGTCCCACAACGACACGAGTAGATTGGGGTTATACTGATCCCGAAGTTCCAGAACTGTGCCGGAAGTTTGCCGAGACTGTGCTGCATGCGCTGCACCCGCCGACATGCGGTTTTGAATGGCGCGAAATAACTTTGACTTTTTTAACATTTCCATGGTGAATTTTGCTCGTTTTCATCCCATTCTTGTATCTCGCTTGCTCTTGTAATTGAAAAAGTTCCAAGCTTGGAGGGGGTACAAGAATGAGCGCTATTTCGTTTTGTGCTCCAGCTAAAAACGCCACGAATTTATGGCGCTTCCATTCTGCACATTCTTCCAAGTTCTGAGAACAGAAGCGAATATTGAGAAAGAAACAGCAAACAGTAAAAATTCACACCCAAAACCCAATATCATGAAAACATAAAGAAAGATTAGCGATTTTCGCAACCGTGATGGTTGTACCAGTCCTCTTAGGGGACAGTTGAAGATAATGAGGATACGGCAACTCTTTGAAACACAAAAAGAGCCTTCAGCAGAAAAATCACGAAGGAGAAGGGGCGCACAAAGGAAAATGGATAATGTACGCAAGACATGATGACATGAAAAAGTTTCATTCTCGAATTCCGCTTAAGTTCGTAATCCTCTACATCACAAGAAGTAGCAAGACGCAAGAATGAGACAAAGATGGGCAAAATTTGCAACTAAAAAGAGAGTCAAAAATTGTCGTCTCGCGCCGGTCAAAACCGCATGCAAGTGGCTGCAGCGCAGCTCACAGCAGCACGCCATCATAGTGCGAGAAGCTGGAACTGTTCCAAAACTTTGGGATCAGTATGAAACCAGCTTAACCTTGGCGGTATCGCTTCCCCTCGTCTCAATTCAAATGGGGGGGGGGGGGAGGGGGGCAGGGGAAGCTTCGGACACTGTTAGTATGGGGTCGTCCTAGACTTCAAATAACAACAAAGAAGACGCTCGTGCTTCGGAAGCAAGCAAAAGAACGTACGGGATAGTGTACGTATAAAAAAATGAAAAAAAGATACGTCCAAATGCGAGTGAATTATACGACTACATATGGGGGTTGGGATGCTAGGTGAATACTTAAGGATAATCGGAGCCAAGTAAGGATATTGGTTTACTTAGTATACACCAACCTAATTCCCCAAGCCTTGAACAGACCTGACAAATTTCATCTAGAGAAGAAGTTTTCTTTGAACTGCCGGAACGCCGCCAATGACTTTTCGTAGATTACGGAGGATCACTGCTCGTACATTTATTAACCGCACAATGTTTTTCACCATCTTCTTACAATTGCCATACAATATGAGCGTAAATGATACTCGAGATAGAACAAAGTGGTTAGCTGCTAGCGTTGATAGGTTGATTTATAATAGATTTCTAGTATCCAAAGATGCGAACGCGCCACGCTACACGCCCATGGTCAGAGTACTTCGTACGATATTAGCCCAACATCAAAACCGAACCAATTCATCCGCGCAAGCGATGGAAAGTATTGTTTGCATCCCACCTTTCCCATACAACCTGGCCCTTGACGAACGCACAAATATGAGCGGCAACGGACGTCAAAACGGTATCGCTGGCTTCTTTCGCGGCGCTGATTTTTCAGTATGCACTTTATCTGTGACAAAATGTACGCATGGATGCAGTGGTACCTACACGGTGTTCCAAAAAAAGCGTAGAAAAATGTACCGAACGTTTGATTTTCAATAACTTCCCTGTATGGGATGCTTTCGCTTATCTTTGAGTGTTATACAGTAAAGCTGGGTTCAACTTAGATTTACAGTATAGAGCGAACCACCAATTTCTCTTACTGTGGGAGGAATTTGGACTAATTTTAATCTTTTGACCGAGAACTGCTTCTAACAATACCAAAAAAAACGAAGGACGTTAAAGTGAGGTTTTCGGGGATGCTGAATCGATTTAAAAAGTTTTCCGCTACCGTACTTCTCATCTTCCTACGGTATGCACACCGTAACGCCAAATTTTTCCTTTTTTTCCAAAATTTACTGGATCAAGTTGCAATTACAAATACATCGTCTAAAGCCCTCGCGTTAGCCGAAGCGTTACAGTATGCATGCCGTAGGAAGATGAGAAGTAAGGTAGCGGAAAACTTCGTAATAAGATTCAGCATTTCCGAAAACCTCAGTTTAACGTCCTTCGTTTTTTTTGGAATTTTGTAGCTCTCGCCTGTCGAAAGCTTAAAATCAGTTGAAAATTCTTACCGTAATCCTACAATAACTAAGAGTAATCGGTGAATCGCTCTATACTGTAAATCTAACAAAAGTTGAACCCAGCTCTACCGGATAACACTCAAAGATCCGCGAAAGCTTTTCATATAGGGAAGTTACCAAAGATCAAACTTTCGACATATTTTTTGGGACACCCTGTATGATACTATATATTATACATAATGAGAAAGGTGACACAGCAGATAATTGGGCAAAAGGTGTACTTATATCGCTACGGGTATAATGACCCTATTGTTTGGCGTCTGACATTAGCATAAAAGAAGTATCACTTACTTACCTTTGATTCAACTGGATTGGCGGCTTGAAGGCGTGCTTCGTGACTTAGTTAAGGCTGGAAGATGATCAGAGGACACTCGCGCGATAGAGTCGCAGACTGCGTCGCGGGCGCGAGCGACCTTAATTAGACCACAAAGCCCCGCCTTCCAACCGCCAATCCAGTTGCAAAGATTATGGTGGTGCCGATATTGTCGGACCCATTCTTGCACATCAAAGGAATTATGATGAATGCATAATATTTATCTTGTCTCAACTTCCACTTAAACTTACTGAAGTTTGCTGACGTGTGTGGTTATGCCAATAAATCATATCAAGATTTTCAACTTATATAATTTAGAATTCGCGAATGGATCCATGAGCAGTCCTTCCTTTGCTTCGCAATTAATCCTTCGGATTCTCAACTCCTTGGCACAATTCCAGATATCCATGATGGGCATCTATACAAAGGTAATTTGACTCGATTTGAAAGATTTATTCAAGTAGAAGAAAGATTGTTCAGTACCGCAATAAAAATGATTGATTCGTAAAAAAACCATTGCGTGTATCTGATAAGTAGAAGTGCCTAACTCAATACGATAGGTCTAGATTAGGCAGTAAAAGATTTTTTCACAAATATTTTCATCTTTTTGCTCATAATAGGTTATTTCAGTGCCACAAGTAAGCACATTGCGCAACACCGTAAGTAAGAATCCGATAAGATTTGTGAACTCTGATAGCCTTCCGTGCTACCGTACCTAGGTAAACTTCATATATCAAGAGATGCCCTTGTCAAGCTAAGTTAGAAGGTGCCCACGAAATCAGTATGTACCCATTCTGAGCCAAGATATGCCTACTCCGTGAATTTCGGCGAATTCCGGCGGTCGCTGCTTTGTTTCTTGCAGATTTATTATATGTGTTATAATTCCGCCTGATATTATAATTGTGGACCAGCAGTAGGTAATACTCTGTGAAGTCGAAATATGGCGAATAGCAAAAACCAAATTCAGCCATTAATTAAAAAATGAAGTGTAGATACTTACAAACTTGCGGTTCATAATTGCTTAGAGTTTCGAGAAGGTCTGTAGATACTTTTAATCCGTCTAAGAGCAGGAACGAAACGGTTCTGTAGTTATCTATTGATAAAGTGTTTACAATATTTTTTATCATTACTTATTAGAGGCAGTGTCTCGGCAGAATTTAACTTTCCAGATTTTCACCTTTTCAAAGCCTTCTCGCCATGAAAACCCATATCTGGGCTTTTTAGCGCTGAAAATGGCGAAAATGAGCTTTTTCGAAGATTTCCAGGAACACATTCAGGAGAATACGTGCAAGTAGGGGGGGGGGGCGAAAGACTTCCGGCGTATCTTCACTAAACGCAGACCTGAAAAACCTTCGAAAAGGGCTCATTTTTGCCATTTTCATGAGCTGGAAGCCCAGATATAAATTCCTTATGGCGAGAAGACCCCGAAAAGGTGAAAAACTTTAAAACAAATGCCAAGAGACTATCTTTGAGTATCGTACGCACCCCATGAGTTGAGCATAAAAATGAAAGTTGAGGACCATCGTAGCAATTTTTTCATGAGCACAGTACATACCTCATCATATTTGCTACCTAATTCTTTTTTCTACGAACTAAGCTATTCCATTGTTTCAGCTTAACGGTACAATACGCATCAACGACATCAAACGCGCCAAGATTACTGGAGAAAAAGTTCTTGAAAGGATTGAATTAGCTCTAATCGACAATACATTGAGCGGTGGTAAATGTGTTTTTGGATTTTATTTTCACGTCGAAGCTTCTATCATCTTACTTGATTAAGCGATGGCAGAGGAAGAGCAGCTAGAAGCTACTATCAGCGAAATAAGTGGATTGGTGGAGGATGTCATCACAAACTCCATGAAAACTATGGCACTTATCGTGCCTTTGATCAGAAATGGCACGGTGGGTTTCTTTTTCCTTCTTTGGTGTATTTATACAAAGATGATGCTAACTTAGTTTAACATCTGAAAAAACCTTATATTCGGAATCACTTTAAATTTAAGTCTAAGTCTATTACTTGCGAAGCTTTGTTTCAAAGAGGGTATTTACTACCATGTCAATCGCATACCAAAAAGCAGTCGCGAAAATTCCGACAATTTCGACAATTCCCGTACCGGGGAAGCCGCAGCCTGCTTTCCGGAAGGGTAATTGGATGGACGCACACGGATGGAAGCGCATTACTGGAGGGGACGTTGCTAACTTGGGGGTTCTCATGCCTCTCCGCTATTCCGAAGCGATTTTCTCGTTCCCGAAGCGACATTTTTCGCCGCGACTTGGGCATTGGCTTGATATGGGGTCCTACTATCGTAAGCTGCCAAAAGCCCCAGACCCCTAATTTAGGATGCACAGTGCCTTTAATACGTTGACGACAACCTGCGTTTTTAGTTCTCTGCCTCTTGGGACAATGCCTTCTACTGACAATTCGAAAAAACTTTAGCTAAAATCATGCAGATCGTCAACTACAGTATACCGACAGTGATTCTATGAAGCGGGAGAGAAACAAAAGAGCAATCTTTAGAATTAGGCCGTAAGAACTTCAGAACTTCAGAAACGGATGTGTTCAAAAATAGCAATCTTTTCAACAAAATTTAAGCCATGACCCACCACGTGGGTCACATAGTCCCACGTGGCAGACATTGAATGACCCACACCGACCTACATTCTCAAAGGACTACGGAAAAGAAAGGACGCATGAGCTGATAAATGTCAACGAAAAACGAAAAACTGATGTCTTCGAAATTATCGTGAACGTACTTGGGTGCAGATTGTGGGGACGACATGTGGGCTGGGCGAGGAGGGAAGGGGGTTACTATGAATCATTCAAATGGATACTGTTGAAGCAAACGTAGATTGTGTGAGAAAAGTAGTTGATGATTCTATTTTAGGTTCGTCGTAACGATAACGAGGACGTTCTTGTTGAAAAAGCAGTTTTGGGCGGATTTTACGGGTAATACAACGGCAACGTACATAACTGTTTACAAATGGAATTGTGAGCACTAAAATTCAGACTTTGGCACGAAAGCTCTCTTAATGCCTCTCGCCCCCACAACAAATCGCAGACAGCACCTATTCCATCAAACGATAAAAAGCAGTTCTCAACCGATCTCAAAAAGCTTTACGAGGAGCAGTTTGAAGGATTCCTGAGAATTCCTATCAAATGTAGTAATTTTATTATTAACTGTGTGTTTGGATTCACGACCAATGAGCAGTTTAGGCGTTCGCACCAGCTCAGGAGAAACGAAATGTAATCAAACCTCTGCTATCTCGAATGGACAGCATTGGCAACCTGATAAAAGTAAAGGGGAGATGTTTACAGGACTAAAGCTAAATGTGCGCTTTCGCCATTTTGCTCTCACTTCATTTTCCATACAATTTTCAGGATCACGAGATAATACGGCATGGTCCCATTTCACGTGTCGAGTCAATCATAATTGGGAATGCGACGGTCATTCAACAAAGCAACAGCACATTAAGCACAGCATTTCCCTACTATCCACTCAAGATGAGCAACAACTCAACAACGGTATAGGTGGAATAATGTTGAAAAAAGGTGTTTATTATTTTTAAACGAATGAGCACTATGCTGTAAAAATATAAATACAAATAAACGTATGTAAAATAGTTTTTTGATTATCCACCGTTCTTTGGTGCCACTCCGAATTCTTGTAGCAACATTTTTTCGTTTGATTATGGGGCCAGAGAACAATACTTCATCAAATTAACAAATTGAGCACCATGCAGATTGAGTTATAGGGCATTTGAAAAATTGTGACGATGGCCCGACCGCGCACGACACGCACGCCACTTCCGGAATTCGCATTTTCTTGGTTTTTGTCTTTAGTCGAATGGTTTTTTGCTTCGTATGATAATCAGACACTGAATGTGACTGAGTTGAACGTTGAGGTGATGCCTTCTTGTATGAGCGTTTTCTGCCCCTGTGGGCGCAAAGTCCGCAGTAAAATTAGTCGTCACGATTTTATAAATGAACTCTATATGTATTTTTGGGACCAAGGCCTGTCATGGATCAGTCAACATTTTCAAATAAAATCACGCATACTGCTCTCTGCAGTATACCTCAGGACCTCTGTGAGACTGACAAAACAGATAGAGGTTGTTTTTAGCTCCACCGCAAAAGAGAATTCCTGAAATGGACTTTCCCGAGGATAGTCGTCATTTTGCTAAAATCCAAAGCTTGACATGTGTGTCAAGCGGTCGTCAATATGTTGATGAAGGTATTTGTTCTTCTCTGTTTCAGAAATACGGTAGAAAATCCAAACACAATAGTCATTGTGATTTTACTGTCATTCTTGCTCGCATGTTCCATCATGGCTTAGGCCCTGGGCATAGCTTACCCGATTTCAATCGCGACGGGATTTGGAAATACTTCAATCGTCCACAACTCATCCTAGGGTGTTTTTGTATGGCATTCTAACAATAGAAGATAGGGAACTTTAACAACCTGCGCAAAGAATACATGCTGTGCATTTGGAGTTTGTCGGTATTGCATTTGAAGACATCTGGCAAGTTGACAGATTTCTTGGGGACTGAAGTCGCATGAGGTATGCCCACGGCGTTATACTTAGTTGAAGTTAGCTACTGCGCATGAGGCAAAGTCATGGAATAGTTTTCTGAACACACTGAATTTGGGAACTATACGCGAAACGATATACTTTTACAAAACTACGTTGAATTTCTGTAAGTGACAATTTGAGTGTTTTACACTAGATAAGCCTTAATTTCCTGCTTCGCCATATAAGTGGATCTTGTTATTAGCTCATAGAAACATACTTAGAGAGGAAAAGGAGCTCGTCTTACTCTTTACTCTAACACCTTTGCACCAAATCCCAAGACTGGACACAGACCCCCCCCCCCTCCATAGTTCATGAAATATTCTCACGTTTCAGCGAAATTACTAATTCACCTTACGTGACCATAACGGATCTTCAATAATTCAGCTAGATTACAATGATGTCATTTACCCTGCTCTACCTGAAAATACAACCAGCTACTCAAAGCATAGGTCCAGTCGAGTAGATTTTCCGCTTAATATAGTGTGCTTGCACTGCCCGTGGAATGCGGTAAAATTTGCGCGTGAACAAATAGCTATGCCTGTGAAGCCGGCCACTTGCGCGCGCAAATGCTTGCATTAGTGTTATAGTTGTTCACGCGCAAATTTTACCACACCTCACCGGCAATGCGAGCACACCTTATTGAGCGGAAAATCTACTCGATAGTATTGTCGAGTCATTCGTAATTTAAAAACCAGGTAATCCATAATGCGCAGCACAGCTTTCTTCCCAAAAGATCTACACTGTCAGCTCTCATGTCTACGTGCCTATGGGGCAAAAAGCGATTGATGATAAAGTTTCGCTACAGTTTGCTACCTAGATTACAAAAAAGCCTTTGACTCTGTGCCTTTGAACTACTTTTTATGAATCTAAGAGCGTATGGCATTCAGGGCTGCCTGCTCAAATTTTTGAAATCTCTTCTACTTAACCATACGCAAAAGGTGCAAGTCAATGAATCCTTCTCTTCTACACACCAAACAACGAGCGGTGTGCCACAGGGAACTTGCCTAGGTCCTGTGATGTTTCTGCTCTATATCAATGATCTATCGACATACCTTCCCCACAATATACTTGCTCAATTTACGCTGACAATACCAAGCTTCTTTGCTACAAATCCCTTAGTCTGATGCAGAGCACCTTGCCATGGAGGGGTGGTCCAAAAGATGGGAGCTCGACATTTCCATTGAACAAACCTTCAATGCCATAGTCGGGGCTATTCGCCCTCAATGGCAACTCAGTATTGGAAAACAACAACTTCAAGTATTAAAGCTAAAGACCTTGATGTGACTCACTCTTGCCAGTTGAAGTTCGAGAAGTACATATAGATATAAATGACGCTGCTCACACCAGATGCAATTACATACTACGTGCATTTAGAACCACGAATGTCAAAAGGCTCTTTCGCCTCTTCGTCACCCATGTGCGGCCTTTGTTGGAAAATTGTACTCCTCTATGGTCCCCTTACAAGAAAGCCCAGATTGATGCCATGGAAAGAATTCAACGATCTTTCACGTCTAGAATCTTCGCCCGAGCTGAAATGTTTCGACTGTCATACAAAACTAGACTCTCCATACTCACCTCGACCTCCCTTTGGTTCAAAGGAGTGATGTACGACCAAAATCTGGTTTTCAAAATTATGACTAGAACAGTTGAGCTGAGAATACAAGATTTTTCAGACTGTCAAGTTTTAACAATCTCACTAGAGGACACAACTTCAGGGTTGTAGTAGGAAAAGTTAGAACTAAGCAGTTCTTCAACTCCTTCTCAATACGCGTAGTCAAAACTTGGAATGCCCTCCCTGTGGAAGCTGTTAGTGCGAGAAACACCTTCATTTTTAACAGAGAGGTTATAATTGAAATCGCAAGGGTCATTCTGATTTTTGATTGCAGAATGGCAAAAGTCGATGTCCTTTTGTCTTCTCAACAGCAGTACTCTAGCCGGTTTTGGTCTCTCTATCCAGAAGAGCAAATCGCACTATATGCTATCCCTTCTTAAGCCATATATCGTTTCTTTTCTACCTCATTTCCTTTTCTCGAATGAGTAATCCACCTCCTGAAAGTTTCGTTGATTTTTTGTTCGTTTTTCTTGTTCCGTTTTTGCATGTCTCGTTGTCCTATTGGAAATACTTTTTTATGGGGTTAAAGCCAGCTAGCCTCCGCCCATAGGCTCGCTGGCCTTCAAAAAACGTAATTTCTGAGAGGCAGCAAGATTCCTCACCCGACCGTGGATGTACTTCTCTTTTCTCATAAGATACGATGTTGTCGACTTTATTAGATAAACCAAATATGTGAGCCTGCACACTACGTGCAGCAACTGACGGCAGTATCTCCTCACCGAAATAAGAGATTTATCCCATTTGAAACTCGCAAAATTGGATATTCAAAATACCCGCATCACCTCCAGTCACTCCTGCTGCAGAAAGACTGCATGGCTGTTCAAGCATTTTGATCTGATAGTCCGCTATACAAAGAAGTCTGTTGCTATTGCATTCCACCTCAAGAAGTTCCTTGCTAATTATGTGAGACGCTTGGCTCTGTCGCCAGAGCACTCACAGAATCTATATACGTATATCGACAGTGAAACTTATACCAAAGAATTTGGTGCTTTGAAAGATAAATTGGATAATGTATGCCTAACTAATCAATCCAAAGCTCAAGCGTTAAGGGCTTTCTTTGCGAGCACATTTACTACGACATCTTCTTCAACAGCATCTCTTGGGGCGCCTGTGGCGCATATATGCTCAGCTCCGATTATCATGCCTTTTACCGTAGAACGCTATCCCAAAAGTCTCAAAAATTTAACTTTTGAAACTTTTGAAGGAATCCCACAGATAGTATTCAAGCGATGTGCTAAAGAACTTGCTACTCCTTCCTCCCACATCTTTAACATCTCCCTCATGTGTGGTGAGGTACCAAGTATTTGGAAAGAAGCTATTGTCACAGCCATTCCAAAAGTCAGTAAACTTCAAGTGGTTTCTGACTTCAGACCTATTAGCATCAATCCCGTCCCATGCAAAGTTTTGGAACCCCCAGAGCAACACGGCTTTGTTAGTGGTGCTTCTACTGTTACCCAGTTGATCGATTCATATCATGATTGGGTCAATGCTATCTTGTTGGGACAGAAAGTGGATGTTATCTACTTTGATCTTTCCAAAGCGTTTGATCTTATAAGTCATGCTAAATTGCTGTACAAAGTTGAGCATTATGGAGTTAGAGGCGCCTTACTTGATTGGTTCAAGTCATATCTCCAATCCAAACTGTGACTGTCCGCGTTGTAAATGAACACTCTGAGCATTTTCCTTGCGTTAGTGGGCTTCTTTAGGGAGGTGTTCTGTCTCCCCTTCTATTTACGGTTTAACTGCTGATTTACCCCAGATGTTGAAGACACACCCCGGAATTCATGTACTTATGTATGCAGACGACATAAAAATATACGGAATATACAGCAATGAAAATCGCTATGAGATCCAAGAAGCTCTACAACATTCTATTGATCTCATGATTTGGTGTTCAAAGTGGGAAATTTCTGTTAACATTGCCAAAAGTTTCATTTTTCACACCGGTAACGAAGAACAAGTGCATTATGAGCACAATGGAATAGCACTGATCAACAAAACATTCGTCAACGATCTGGGAGTTTTGATAGATTCGAGATTGAAACCGGATCTACAGATTGCCTCCGTCACCTCCCCAAATCAACTGATTAAAAATTTTTATTGAAACTTTATAAAGCCCTCGTTATTCCTGTTCTTGAATATGCGACTCAAGTTTGGGTCCCTCCCTGAGGAAGCACAAGCAGGCATTGGAGAAGGTTCAAAAATTGTTCACAAAACTGCTTTTCTATCGCTGTTTTCCTAATCCAGCTTACCCCCGATTACTTCCTAGTTATGAACAGAGGTTGAGAATTCTTGATCTTGAAAGCATTACATATCGGAGAGTTGTTTATGATATCATATTAGCTTTCAGGATTTTTAGGGGTGAAACCAGGTTTCAGACCTAGCCATGGAAGGACTAGTGCATTCTATATTAATTTCCGTCACTTCGGTGGCGGCAACGATTTCGTTCCTTATTTGAGCAGGACTTTCTTGTTCGCACAGCAGAAATGTTACAAAAATTACCACACGAACTTTTGGCATGTAGTGATAGTTCTTCTTTCAGAAGAGAGCTTAAAAAAAGAAGATTGAATGACTTTTTTGCAGGTTCAATGTATCTCACTTCCCTTCTTTTATGACTGCGCTGTTGCAACCAGACATGTGCAATGAGCATAATTGGGTTACTGATTAACAGCCATTATTGCAGCTTTGCATGTTGAACTCTACTGCTTTTGAGTTTTTTTACTAACACCGTTCTCATCACCATGTGGTTCAAGCCTGGGTCACATCTTTATTTTAGCCTGATTCGCATAGCTTGCTTGCTTTGATTGCATGGAAATCATGTTATGCTTATTCTTGCTTTGGAGTTGGGCTCTCCTCGGCAGACTGGTTGGGCTATAAGCTCCGGTTTGTTTCCTGGAAATCTTTTGAGATCGTGGCTAGCAAACGAAGGGGCATGGGTACCATCTCCTTAGATTACAACTCGTTTAGATTCACATTCGTTGTGCAGTACTTGACAGTATTCTGTTTTGCCCATGTAGCAGTGCTCATGGAATTTTGGGCTGTCCCCGGCAGGCCGGTGGGTGCTTACCCGCCGTCGTTTGCTTGTTTGAATACTTAAGATCGTTTGCTGGCTATCGCGAAAGCATGGGTTCCATCTCTGTGGATATAACTTATTATTGACATTCGTAATATCCAGCAGTCTTCTTGCAAGCTAAGCCGTTATTCTTTAGTTTGTATGAAGTCTGAGCTTGAAGCATATGATGATTGTTTGTTTTAATTTATTACGCCTCGAGCGTATTTAATGAAAATGACAATGAAAATGAAATCCTTTCTAGCGTAAGAGACTGTAGAATTGCAACTGTCTTATCTTTTATCCAATGAAATCAATAGGAACAAGAAAACAATGGGAAATCACAGAAAATGAGCAGGCCCTAATCTTAAAATTTTTAAGGTCGCGCACATGATGTGCAATACGCATTTTAAGTCAAAGGCTAGTGCATGATAAAGGCGCAGTAGCAATATTAGTTTAGCGGGCGCGCGTTATACACCTTCACCGCTATAATTCTGCGCCTCATGCGCCCTGCGGCTAATAAAGCCGCGTTTGCGCCCAAAGACATTTTCGTCATGCAGCAACCTATACAAATGAATTGATGCAGACCGTCCGTTTGTGTAGGCTGCTGCATCCATCGATCCACCACCTTCAAACTTTTGGTCAACTCTTGGAATCTCACTATCGGCTTTTCTGGAGATTATAAGCCTTTACAAATTTTTTTCACTTCGAAAATGATCTATACACGCTCATACCCCTGATTTTGATTCTGCAAAAATATGCCATCGATTGTAAGATTTCAGTTCATCATGGTTACGTTGCAGATGTATAAAGTTCTCTTCGTTGCTATCGTGGTGTCTCACCTTCTAGTAAAAAAGAGAAAGAGTTCAAAATGTATTACAGTAAAAGTACTACAGTAAGTAGTACAGTACTAAAATTCAAATTGCACTACAGTAATGTTCAGTGGAAGTTTTGGTATCGTTATGATGGGCAGTTGCCACTCTAATCTTGATAGTAAAGCACGTCCTTTACTCACAAAGTGTATATTTCACGCTTTGCAATGATTGGTTCACTTCCACTAGTTTTGACATACGTTCACAAAGAGTAGAGATAAGTTTTTCGCATGATTTTATACGTTGCTCTTATTCCACATTGCACGTATACACATCAAATCTGAAGCTTATCTTACCTATGCTTTGCAAACGGATTAAAAATTACAATTTGCAACACATCAGTCATGTAATAGAAGTGCAAACCAAGCAACTCCACCGACCGCAAGTGTACAATCTGTCCGCACGGCTGGAGTATATCGCAGATATTGGCCCATAGTAATAAACCCCATTCATCTCGATTGACTTGAGATGAATGGGGTTTATTCAGAAAAACTTCCTAGCGTGGATCTAGAACCGCCCACTTCCCATGCTTTGATATTAGGTTGGCACAGCTGGCACCGGATTAAGCTGGATATTGTTTTTGGAAAAAAACAAAGGGAATTTTTGTGAAATCGGTTTTTACATTTAGGGTTTGAGGTCAGCTGGAGCATACGGGACTTCAATTTTCGAGTTTAAAGGGACTTCGTTTCAGAGTTTTCTTGGCTCCAGCTTGTGCCGAGATCTGCTTAGGATTCAGTTGAACACTGTTCGGCTAAGTGCCACGGTCAGTTTGAAAGAATCCCACTTAGCCGTGGCAGGTTTTGGAGTGAACCGAAAAAGATAGCGTGCAAACAAGAAGGATCACACAACATTCCCGTAAGCTGCTTGTAGTAACTTACGGGAAAATTTAATTGACGTATTATTACGGTGCAATCCCAAAATTGCACAATTTCGGGGCGCAATTGAAAGAGGATCAATAAAGCTGATTGCGGCGAGGAGATAGAAAAAAAGATTTTTTGTTTCTCTTTCTTGCAAGTTTTGCATTTTTCATAAAAAACCTCAATTGCAAAGAATGGTAATTTGTTTTTATATCTATTTTCGGAAACTTGTGATTTTTTGCAAGTGTGGATGTCAATGTTGTGAATTTGTTTTACAGCTTCGTTTGCTAGGCGATAACTCTGATAGCGGTTATCATCGATATTACTGCCGCAAAAATGTCACCACTTTGATCTCGCAACCTTAGAGTCACAAATGGAATCTCAGCGGCTCAGCCGTTTGACCAACTCAAGTATCGTTTACTCGCTTGCCTTAGAGTAGGACAATCGCTGTAGAGACTTAATCTATCGATAAACCTTCATTCTAGGCTATTGTGTTTTTGCACTCTCACGCTATCAAAAACCGTTACGCGCGTACGCCGGCAGTCCCCGCCTACTCTAGGCAAAGCGAGAAAATAATAGTTGTATTTTCAAAAATGTACAAGGTTATCATGTCCAAAAGCTGATCCGCATCTAGATCGATAGCTTACTGGATGCCGAGCTGGAGCGTGCGTTCAACGTAAGCCTGCCCCCAGCCGAGTTGCTCTGAAAAGGGGTTTACTATGGACCATATTGTCTCTACCCCTGCGAGAGCATGTTGACACACCTACGAAGGTAACAGTGCAAGCAACGAATATTCGAAGTCGAAGTATTTCTTTTGGTTTCCCCCAAAACGATCTCCAAGATCTCAATAGTTTTTCTTTTTTGATGAAGTGTCTGAAAATATTACAGCGTCCAATCAGTTGTGTGAGACGTAATTCGTAGTCTGAGAGAGCTATGATTCGATGGGATGATTAAGGCAGTCATAGCTACATCGAGTTGAGGGTCATAAAGAATGGGAGGCGTGCACGTATTACCCAGGCAGCCGGTGCCGCAATTAGAAGTCAAAGCTGGCGCCAACGCCGCAGCTGAACTACAGATAACGATATCGCCGTCCAAAACCTCTCGCCGGGAAATAGATATACCTAACATGCCTCATATTTAAGGTATATGAATATAGAATTATATGAGAGGGATACCACTGAAACGAGCTTTGCAAAGTTTTTAGAGATCTACCCAGATCGCCGATCTACTTTAGAGTTCGAACAAAATCTGTGAGCAACTGGCCTTGTCAAAAATCAAAACTTCGACCGAAGAAACCCTCCTACGAGCTACTTAGTAAGTCATCACATAGTAAACACTAGCATTCATGCACTAGCTGTTTTTTCGCTTAGAATCTCAGAAAAAACGGCATCCGAAAATTGACGAATTTCGGTCCAGCTCCACCCTTCCCTCCAATTCAGGCAGTGGAATAAATGCTTCGGAAGCATGACTGTAAAATTCTAACATGGTGTCTGTTTTGGCTTCTGAGAAAAGTCCGTCATAAAATATCGGGACATAATTGCACCAACTTAATACTTTTGAAATGTCCTGATATATCAAAATGAGAAGATGGCCAATCTGAGGTATTATCATGTAAGGAGCTCAAATAGCTCAAATATATTCTCGAGTTACTAACGTTAAATATTCTCAATTTTTGATAAAAAAGCGGCAACATCTATATAATCGCAGAATCAATTGTCAAATGATTCTCAAGCGTATGGAACTTCGGTTTTCGATGGGTTTTTGGAAGTGTACCACTCGAATTTCCTGTTCATAGTTCTTGGAAGAAGCGGCTGAAATAGAGTTGAGTACCATATGCAAGTTAACAATACTTACAAACAAAGTGAAACTGCTTTGTGCTTTGGAAAAGCACAGAGGAAACAAAGTAAAGCTGCTCTGTGCTGGGAAGCTGGAGGATCAGATAACATGATGCTTACGATAATTTTGAAGATCCTCGTTAAAGCAAAGTGTAAAGGAATCAATGCAATCAACACCTAGGGCGACGTAGGTGTTGAATGACTCCCTTTTGGTCATCAGGGTATTCAAAAGTCTTGTAGCCTATTATTTTCTTTGGACAAGAACGGAGGAACAAAAAAAATATAGATTTTGGTTTGCACATTACTCAAACTACGTCACAGCATTCGAATTCAAAAATCATATTTTCTCGTTCACACAAACCTCCAAACGGTTAAACATTGCCACTGCCGTGGCACGGCTTCATCATGATTTCTTCCACGTCTTTGCGGAAATACATAGTTCTTATTGCTCAAAAAATGTCTGATATGATGGAGCAAGCTTCCAGCTACAGTATACACTAAAGAAATTTTTTTTGTAAAATTATGGTTAGATACATCAGCCTTTCCGCAGGTATGCGTATACCTCATGCTGAAGCTTTAACCCAGTCATAAATATCAAGAAATCGACTACAACATGGCTTTGAAAGTGATTTCATCAGGCCTTGTTAAGTTAGATTCTCATCTAAAAGATTACCAAGGCAAGATTACCTTGACTGCTGCACTTCTACAATTGTATTAATTTCAAAAACATAGTAACAGCGGCACGCCTTTGAAGTTCCCAGATTTCTTTTTCACCTTTTCGATAAAATTGTTTTTCGAGTCCAGCTACTACAGTGATAATGTGTAAAGCCTCCTTTATGTTGTGAACATAAAATCAAATCTCGGAATGAATCAAACCCCGGAACATATTATAGATTTTTGAGCTATTAAAAAGTAATCGTGCGATAAGGACATTTATTTTAAAATATACGAAAATCATTTTGGACTCGGAATGAGTATTTTTTGAAGGATAATTGCAGCACTCTGTGGCATATTTGTAATCGAAACCACCAGTGATTCATAACTCAAAGCAATGCAACTTAGACTACAAGACTTTGGGACGTCTTGTAAATTCCCATATTTTATATTCTTTGGATAGAGAGAAACACAGAGCACTTTTTACCACTTAGACTAACCAGAATGAACAATACCGCCGTCAGCGCAGTTTCCCACTCTGAAAGTCCGCTGATTGAAAAAAGCGCAACTCTAACAGTAAACTTTGTCGCTTTCGCGTATAAACGGGGTGGCAAAGGCCACAATCATTGTTTTGATTTTTTGCACGCTGACCTAAGAATTTTGATGGGAAAAATGTACATGACACTGTTTCCCGTAGAACTTACCATGCTTAGCGACGTGGACGTTGTTGGAAGTTCTTATATCTTTCGAAAATTGCAGACCTGTAATAACTGACTTCAAAAAAGCTTGGAGTGTTCCAATGTGGCTAATGCTGGAGGAGATAGGAACATCATGGGAAATAGGTCTCTACGGGGAATTTGCTTTACTAGTACAGCGTTTTGATAGAAACAATCTTTTTGTTCTTCGAGACTGATTAAAAGAGACAGACTTTGCTGAAGCAGATATGGTCATCTCTATGATGTTGCTGAACCAGACTAATTCTATTCAAAAATTGCTTTTATTCAACTTGCAACTGACCAGAATAGGAAGATTGGGCATTGGATAGATTTTCCGGAATTTTAGTAGACTGCTGATCTGAAAATTGTTTTTAAAGAATAGAAAAAACATTTGGTATTCCTTCTTGGCACTGACCAGATGGCGAGGGCTGATACTAACGTCCTCTTCTACGGTTTTGGGAGACTATTGACCTAGTGAAAAATCGACATTGACCCTTCCTTAATCTTACACGTAACCAGAATCTGTCTTTTGTTTCGTTTATTTGCTAAACTGCTGATCCAAAAACTCATCGGAAGTGTTTGACATTTACAGTTTCGCTATGCCACAAAGGTTTGTGATGGTAGACTTCTTCGACTGGTTCAATGTTACTACGCTTTCGTCGTCCTCAGAGGCAATGACTCAGAGCATTATCTGCAAACCCACAGCCATCAAATGTCACTTCTAGCTTAGCTAGTTCGGCGCTTCTCTGAGCTCCTCCGCAAAATTCTTCGGACAGGGATCAACGCACCCTTATACCACTGCTTTTCGAAGCGTCCGCGCCGGAAATCACTGACGACGGCGGACAATGAGATGGTAGACGGCCATCGAAATGCTTATATATTATCTGCGACTGACATAGCGATACGAAGAGCAATTTGAAGAGTCTCGTAATGCCATTTGGTAGACATAAGAACGACGAGCACGAATGGAAATGGCTTCAAAGTCAAGTGCGTTGTTTTCACACGTAAAGTAGAAAATCTCGACTAGGAAGCCAAGTAAGGCCTTTTGATTTCGACAAAGAATAGAGTAATAAATAACACGAATGAGTGTCTGTACATGACTACCGGCTTTCTACCGTTCATATCGTTATGTCAGTTATAGATATTATAATGCGATGACTGTCTATTGCCTTCGTATTGTGCGCGGTTATCTGTAGCATTCCTGCGAACTTCGAATAGCGGGTATAAGGGTAATCACTGTGAGATATTTTGGTGAGCGAGCTCAGAGGAACGCCGAACTAAATGAGGAGGCATTTGAGGGGCTGATCTTGCAGATAATATTTCGAGTCATTTTTGGGTCTATGAGGACACAAAAGCGTCGAAACTTTAGGCGAAGTCGAGGAAACTCGCCATCATAACAAATCTGGCACAGCAAAACTGGATAGTATGGAAAACGCCCAAGTTCAAAGAAATCGAAACATGGAGATTTTCGATTTGAAGTTTACTTTTTCTGCAGCAAATAGGTTAGGCCTGAGGCATACCTCGCGCGATTCCGGTCGCAGTGCGACTTGGCACAACAGCGACTCTTCGTAAATCGTCGTTGATGCGCTGCCTCTAGTCAGAAGTTGATCCGTTTGCAAAAACTTAGGCAAGCTACCCAAATATGCATTTGAGAAGAACGCACGATAAACTTGTAGAAATCTGGCAAATTGCGAAGTCGCGTAAAAGTGGCGATCCGGCTGAATCGCGTGAGGTATGCCTTAGGGCTTACAGAAAAACTTTAACCATCGCAATCATAACCGTAAAGATTAGTAGCCTAGACTATTCAAATAAAATCGGTAGATGATAGAACAAGGCCTAATTAGAAAGTAATAAAGTGCGGTTCATAATTATACGAACACCCAAAATTTTGTAAGTTTTTGGACTTTTTGGGAGAAACTCAAAAAGCCGTTGGCATTACGCGATAGAACACAGCCGAAAACGGCATATGATCCATAAGAATGGAAATCGATGTCAATTGTAGTGGTATTTTTGCGGCTAATGCGAATTTTAAGCGGTTCATAATTATACGAACGCCTCAAACAAAGGTCCATTTTTCATTCAAGATTGCAATCATTTGAGTCCAAATTTTTTGTAGAGTTACAGTAACAAAGTCTGACTTATGTGCAATATACTAAACCCAGTGCAGTTCAAAAAGAGGACCGTTATTTTTTTCAAAAGGGGCTAAACGCTTTTGGAGTGATTGCGCTCCAAAAACATCCGTTCTTCTGTGTTTACGCGCTCTAATTAGCTTCTACCAAAGCTATGAGATGGAGTAAGCTCTTGCAATAGGTATCTTGTTTGACGCTTGGAAAATCTTTGCGTTTTCGTGCCGTTTTTCAACCAAATTGTAACCTTACCACAGAGTTAGCACGATTTCGAGCCTCAAAACTCAGCTTCTGAAGCCGTACAATGAAGCAAGCATATAGTATGTAAAAGTTCACAAGACTTTATATTTGGCTAGAAAAAATCAGCAGCGTTGAGCGTTTGTTTTGGTCACGCAGACGTCATTTCACCAGAAATACTGTTTTTACTATTGCAATCACACCTTTATTTGGTTTGTAGCGCCACAGCCGCAAGATCAGTTCTAGAAAAAACCCAAAAACTTTGGCAAAGAAATATCATCATGCAAGCAATGCAGGTGCTTCATATCAAATGTTTGCGCAAGAGAGAAGCTGAGTTTTGAGGCTCGAAATTGTGCTAACTCTATGCTAAGGCTGGAACTTGGTTGAAAAACGGCACGAAAACGCAAAGATTTTCCAAGCATCAAACAAAGTACCTATCGAAAGAGCTTATTCTATCTCATAGCTTTGGTAGAAGCTAATTAGAGCGCGTAAACCACAGAAGAACGGGTTTTTGGAGCGCAATCACTCCAAAAGCGTTTAGCCCCTTTTGAAAAAAATAACGGTCCTCTTTTTGAATTGCACTGAGTTCAGTGTGTAGCAGATATGTCAAACTTTGTTACTGTAACTCTTCAAAAAATTTGGACTCAAACGATTGCAATCTTGAATGAAAAATAGACCTTTGTTTGAGGTGTTCGTATAATTATGAACCGCTAAAAATTCGCATTAGGCGCAAAAACACTCCTACAATTGACATCGTTCCATTCTTATGAATCATATACCGTTTTCGGCTGTGTTCTATCGCGTGGTACCAACGGCTTTTTGAGTTTCTCCCAAAAAGTCCGAAAACATACAAAATTTTGGGTGTTCGTATAATTATGAACCCTTTAGGACTGTGAGTACTTGCAAATGCAAAAGACACCAAGTCAGGTTGTCATCAAGTTCTCTTCTGAAGGAACAGAGCTGTCGAAGGCGACCTTGAAGATGAAATTAAAAAACCTCGATTCATCGGTTCCTCACAACATACATTTGTCAAAGGACAAAAGTGCTGCGAAGCAGTGGCAATCCCACAATTTCGGGCCGGGGGGGGGGGGGTGAGGCGCGACAAAAAATTTTTTCAAATGAAGGTGCGTAGCGTCCACGCACTCCGAAAAAGTTCTTATAAGGCTAATTTGAATTTGAAAATTTTTTAAAAATTATTTTGATTATTTACAAAAAAAAACAAGTTAATTGCACATATTTATAACCCGTGTAGGTAAGTTTGAGATAGGTCGCGACCCCGCCCTCCCCTGGTCCGCCACTGCTGCGTAGTTATAAGCTCCTGCAAGACGAAGGCGGTCGGTTCGATGTGTGACGTGGTTGTGACGCGGCTGTGACGCGGCTGTGACGCAGCTGTGTCGTAGCCGCGTTGCACATCGAACCGACCGCCTTCGTCTTGCAGGAGCTTATATACCCTGTAAGGTTAGAAAACTACCTCTGCATTTAGTACATATGCGTACGACATCTTACGCTCACAAAACATTCGCCTGCGAACTCTTTCGCCAAAACAAGTAACTGGTCACCAACAGCCAAATTTGCAGAACTGCTGTGCTCCTGCGAGAACATGAAAGAACAGAAATTTGGCTGTTGGTGACCACGTTACTTGTTTTGGCGAAAGAGTTCGCAGGCGAACACACTTAAACTATGTTCAAACGGAATCAAACCACATTGAAAAATCACTGATCAGAAACAAGTGAGCACAACAGTTTACAACTTCACCTGTATGACACGTAGTAAGAACAAACTATCTATTTTCAGCATGTCCCTCGAAAGTTTCAACGACGACATCAGATGCTTAGCCATCATAACGGGAGAAAACTCGAAGATCGCTTTAGGCTCCACCAGAGTGCCGGCGCAACGTCAGCGCTGCCACGGATCCCGACGCGATTTCCGATCAATTGCAGGGTGAGCACACCGGCCAGGAAAGCCAGAACCATGCGTTTTCTTCCTTTTTCTCTCGATTTCGTGTCTCTCTCCTCTCTGCTCTCCTCTTTGTCGCTTTTTCAATCCCTCTGTTGTTTCTTAATACTCTTTTTGTTTCAGGAAACGCTTTTTTGCAGGTGTTTCTTGGGAGGGGGGGGGGGCAAGTAAAATCGAAATGCTTGGCTGCAATTCTTGCAGCTTATAAGTGAGATCTCCTCTTTCACTCCTTAATTCGTTTGCATCTCTCTCTCTCTTTGAATCAACTCATCAGCATCAATGTTTTTTTCCCTAAAGTGCTTTTCCACAACTTGTGCTTTGTGAAAGAAGGGCAAGTTTCTGTCGCCCTTTTCTGCTGATTGATGAGTTGATTTCAACCCTATATCTTCAGAGGATTAGATTTGATTTGTAGATTTCTTTTATCTTTCCCTAAGTTATGCCTCATTTTGATTTTTCACAATCTTAGATAGAGATTAGATGCCACTGCGTCGCCGGCAGCTGGCGATGGGTTGGTACCAACGGGTTGGCTTACTTGAAAATGAGTGCTTTCGCTGTCAGTAACGTCCCAGATGATGAAAGCTGAACTAAAAACGGAGGGCATACTAGACATCGAGGATGCGAATAATTGCGCCGATTCTCCTGCGATTTGATTCCAGAGTCATTGATCGAGGTTGTTGCTATGTCACTACGTAGCCGGCAGTTTGACGGAATTATGTAAACGAGCAAGGCTGAAAATAGAACAGGTGGAAATGCGAGAAATCGATCCACAACCCCGTACCCTTCTTTGCATGAAAAGAAGTAAGTTCCCTTTTGTACATCTGAAAGCGCCGCACAAAAGCATTTTGCGAAAGACTTCGGGAAAACACTGACAAGAGAGCATTCCCTTAAAAAGTAACATCATAAGGAAAAAGGATGAAAGAGAGCACGAGAAGGAGAGAAAGGCACGAAAAAGATGAAGTAATGGCGTCCCTGGCGAGGTGGACGCACCCTGCAAGTGATCGGAAATCGCGTCGGGACCCGTAGCAGCGCTGTGTCGGCG